TCCACCAGAGACAAAGTAGAGAGCAGAACAGGCTGACTGAGAAGTACACTGCTGAGGGGAGCAGCGGGTGGGTCAGGAGAGGTCTGCCACGCCATGTGGGTCACCTCCAGGGAGGGGATCGAACTCATGCTGAAGTGGCTTTAGTTTCTCAGTGCTGTGCTTTAACCTGCAGAACCACCAGGGAGGGCCCTAATATTGGTTTTGTGACTCTGGATACACTGCTTAACTCTCTGTGCCTCATCTTCCCCAGTTCATAGGATGGGGATAATAGCTTCACGTGTCTCAGGGGCTATTGCTGAAAAATCTACATAAACCACTACGACAAGGCTTGGAACAAATGCAACTGTCAGCAAGCGCTGTTCTCATTGTTAAGACACAGTCCCCGCCATGTTCTAGCCGATGATGCCACGCAAGTCCACCAGCCTCCTTCCACCTTACCATTTTACCCTCTCCTGAAGCAGTCCTGTTCTCTCTCCTGCCTCATCTTCATTACTACCAAAGGACTGGCTAATGCTTCTGAGGAGCTACAATCAGCAAAGCGTCATGCACAGCTGTCCATCCAGGGAAGCGCAGCGACCTGGGCTGCCTGCACACAGAGCCTTTGCAGAGGGCTCCTTCCGTGTGGTGTCATCACAACCTCTAGTGGACACAGAGAGCACTGCGGCGCAGGGGCCTTCCAGCCACTCTCTACTCTGCCTGTGATGTCCCGAGGAGAATGAGGAGGACAGAGGATGAGCAGACCCAATGAGCTTTAACACATGCGTGTATGTGTATGTGTGCCTGCCTACCTCCCCTCCCGCTCCTGACTCTCGCTCTCTGACTCCAGGGTTGCGTGACATGTTCTGAAAGCGAAGCCTTCTTCAAGCGCTCACTACTCCACTGCAGACATTTCTCCCTCTGGCTGCTGGTCCTGTCACATTCCTTCAGGACCATTCACACGTTACTGAAGAAAGCTTTCAGAGACCACCTCTGACAACATATTGCACACACCTGCCCGCAGGTCCCATAACACTCGATGCCTCTCTCCACAACCCTTATCTGGCGTGGATGGCACAGCATAGTCTCTAGTGCTTTTACTGCACATTGCTCTTGCCAGGTTGCCATGATCTGGACAGGGAAATCATGTTATTATCCTGTGTCTTCAGCACCTAATACAGCATTGAATGGATAATTGCAAAATGCCCAGTAAGTGTTCCATGGATGAGCAGATGTCTTTACTAGATGACTCTTTTCTTACCTCTTCTTTCTAACTTCTGGTACCATGAACTATGTTTTCTGATGCTAATATTAGGTTCAAAGGGATACAACATGAGAGAGTTTTCAAAGAAAGAACATGTATACTAACTAATGTAAAATTATCAGCTGCCAAACTTAGGAGGTAATTAGGGCATTACCTAGTTACCTCATTACCTCACCTGTACCCCTTCTTCTTTCGTCTACATTAGCTGCACATTTATGCCAATATCTGCTTTACTCCAACTTTAAGGATTTGATTTCTTGGCACCTACTAGTAGGCACCCTTTGGAAAGCAGGGAAGAAAAGAGAGTAAACAATCCTTGAGTATCTATTACATGCCAGGCCATTTACAAGTGTTATGTAACTGCAGCCACTCTTTCAGGCATGGGTCACCAATTCTCCACCTCCACTTACAGATGCTGAGATGGAGGCTCAGGGAAGTCCTAACGAGGCTCACACATCGAGAACAGTGGGGCTGGACCTGTACTTTGGCCGCTCATTCCAAGACCACAATACTTCATTTCTGAAACCTTATAGCTCTCAGCCCATCACCCAGCTCAGAACTCCCTCAGACCAGCTTTGCCATGGCCTCTTTGATGTTTTGCCATTTGGCCTCATGAAGGAAACCACAGACAGGTATAAAAAAGAGCGCTCTATATTCTAAGAATGTCTTCCTGGGAGCATTCTACCCTCTTCACCTGTCCTTCTTTTTCACTGCATATGTCAAGTGTCATCAATGATTTCTCTCCAAGAAATAGGAATCAATTGCAGTAAACAGGTGGGGTGGTAGAAGTAATGGGTGTCCCACCTCCAGGTAGGTGAAAGCTCCATCCTGCTAATCTCTGGCATTACGCACACTTGCTGGTTAGAAAGGTCAGATTTCCCTTCTCTACCCTCAATCATCAAGTGTAGCGTTGAGCGCCCCTAGTGGATAGCTGCACCATTGGTGTGTTACAGAAATTGTTTCAGAATCACACATGAGGACCGGTAAGTTGTGCCATTTGAAAAGCTTTGTGAATAGCAGGAATGAACTTGTGAGCAAACACAGAAAACAAGCCACTCTGATCCTTTTGCCTTGCAGGAGGGACAAAAGGAATATTGCTTTATTTTCCTAATATTCAATTGAACTATATGAACCCAAGAAGCCTGGAAAAGGTACTCCCTGGCATGGAGAAAGATGCCAACCCATAGTCAAAATAGTCTTTGAGTGCATCTAACATCTATGCACACTAGAGATTGGAGGAAGTGGCAAATTTGATTCTTAAGGAGCAATATCGAATTTGCTTTATTAATTCAAGAGAAAAAGCAAAGAAATTACACCAGACTCCACAGTCTTAGCACGTAGTTACAATTATTCCCCATGTGCATATCTCAGACAATAAGAAGCCTCTTCAGAAACAAGTTATACTTTATACTTATTCATGCCTTAGAGCAAAATGGCCCAGAAAATCATGTGACCTGCATAAGAATGTAGCAACAAGTCCCTTTCAAGTATTTACAAATCCCCTCACTGCACCACAACCAGAACGAGCAGTTTGCAGCAGCGAATTAAATGAACAGTTCGCCATCTGACATTAGTGGAAGTTGGGCTCTCTGTTAAAAATAGAATTTATGATGGAAGGTCAATTGTTTCCAAATGCACTGTCAGGACTGGCAATGCTCATTGGCTACCCTCACTCCCTCTTCTGACTCAGTCTCAGAGTCAGAATCACACGGTTATTAATGAGCCTTCTGAAGTAGTACAACAGTTGACTTTAATTTGGCAGTGACCTAACGTTAATTAAAAATATATGGTGGCTATGAGCTACAGTGCTGAGCAGTCAGGAAAAAAATGAAAAATGTCTTAAAAATTAAATCACACCACCACATTTTATGCTTGAAGTCAGCGAAGAAAGCAGGATATGAAATCCTTATCTTGGATGACAATTCAATATGTGCCATTAAGATATTTTTTTCCCTGGAGGGCAGGGTATTGTAAGAGTGTGGTCCTCAGAGGTAGAGTCACTTTAGAAAATCCAGCGAGCCACTGGGTAGCTTTGGGTTCTTTTTCTCTGTGTTAGTCACAACATAGATTCAAAGGAAGGGTGAGGGAGGAGAGCTGGACTGTGTTCAAGGCCACCAAACCATTGTTGGAAAGAGACAGCTAATTAAGAAAGGGCATGCTGTGGTGGAAACGATTTATTTAAGCCAATTCTCTTTCCCCATCTCCCTCAAAGAAATTGTCCAGACCTGGTGTAAATTCTGAATATTATTGCCTCGTAAAAAGGGGATGCTTTAATGATATGCTTTGTTAAACAAAAGGTGATGAATTATCCCCTTCCCTCTGCACTCTGGGTTCCACATTTAAAGAGAAGGGGGTGGGAGATAAAATGCCTGACTTATGCTGAGGAGGGCACTCCAGGCCATAGGGAAAAGAACCCAGAGCCTGGGCCCACGGAACTGAGCGCTGTCCGCGGCCTTTGGTGCTGAAAGCAGGTGTGCGCACCAGGAGCCTAAACTCCCCAGGGAAAGAGGGCACCACCTGCCCCCCCCCCCAGCTCCCGGCAAAGGTGGTCTAAATGAGAAATGGAGCTTCAGATGTGCAGAGAGCACAACCTCTGACTGCCTACAGCCTGAGAAGAACCTGCAGGCAAAACGCCTGCTTTTCTCCATATGAGGAACACGTTTCTGGGAACAGAGTTGGTTTTGTCAGGTTAGGTAGGGGTGTCTACCAACTGTCACCTCCACTCTTGGGTCTCCTGGTGGCCTGACCAAACCTCCAAAGCTCTTGGGGTTAACTTCCGGTGAGTCGGTCACTGTATTCCTCCCTGCATCCCAAAACCCCTTTCTACAACTTTTCCTGGGGGACCTCCCTCAGCAGGGTGAAGAAGAGGGTGCGGTCCCAGATCTGGGAAGGAGGAACAGCTATCCTCCGCTAAACTTGGCGGACCCCGTTTCTCAACAAGCTAGCACGTGGTGGGTGAAACTGGCATCGTCTCCCCTCCCCTCCGCCTCTACCCCCTCCAATCCTTGTGCCCCCCAACACCCCCCAATTAATAATAATGTTAAAGATGCTAGGCTGTAGGGGGAGAACGAAGGGAGGAGTGCCCCCAGTTCCCCACGGTGACCTAACATCTCTTCTCCCTCACCTTCACCCCCACCCCCACCCCAGCTCTAAGTTCCAGAAACTAGAACCCCTCCACACCCGCCTCCAGGAAAAAGCCACACCCAAGTCCGACTTTGAAACGTTTGGTTGGGAGCTGTTCAGGGACCAGGTCTCTTGGGCAGGTCAGAACCCAAGGAGGCATGAGGTGCTAGAGAGGAAAGGAGCGGCACTAGACACCCCCAGACGCAGTTCAAGAGTAGTCCTAGTTACAGGGTGGGTCAGCTGTCCCCCTTCTCGTCCTCTGCTTGAGAGGGTGAGAATTATCTGGCACCCAGCCCCGGGTGCGGTTGCAGGGAGCCCTGGGAGTCTGGGGTTTGGAGGCGACCCCACTCCAAGGAAATTCTCTTGGTCTGTTGAGGGGAGTCAGCCCCACAGCCAGGAAGACAGAACCGGAGCCCGTTGTCTGAGCGGAGAAGCGCCGGAGTCCTTCAGACACATCCCCGCCTCCACACTTCCATCAGCTCCGGCCAAGAGGACGCTGCTTCAAGCCCGGAATTTGGGCAGCCGCCCCCATCCCGGCGGGAGGTGCATGAGTCTCCCGCAGCGGCCACGACCCCGGCCGCCCCGGCACTCGCGGCAACTTTGCCCCCTCCTCCGCCCCGCCCCTCCGGGTGCTTACCTCCTGCCAGAGCTGCCGCGGGGCTCCCCAGGAACAGAGCGAAGAGCAGCAAGATCCCGCCGAGTCCCGCGGCGGGCGGCCGGGCCGCGGGCATCGTGGCTGCTGGAGGCTCCGAGCCGCTGGTTGCGGGGCGGGTGGACGGAGCGGGAGCTGAAGAACGTGGGAGGCAGCGGACAAGAAAGGGAAGGCGGGAGCACTGGAGGGGGCCGCGGGCCGGGGCAGCCGCCGGAGCCCCCAGGCGGACGCGCGCTCAGCCCGGTGTTCGCTTTGGCCAAGCTGCGCCGGGCGCGGGCGGGCGAGTGAGGAGGAGCCGGTGAGCAAGCGAGCGAACGAGCGTGGAGCGAGCGGGAGGAGGGAGGGGGCTGGGGCCGAGTCTGTGCCGAGCTAGCGCAGGGAGGGAGGAAGGGGGCGGGCGGGCAGCAAAGGAGAGAGGGGCCGCCGTGCCCGAGTGCCAGCCTCCTCCGCTGGCCGCCGGCCCGTCGGCCCTGCAAAGTTTAACGCCAATTTCCCTGGCATCCTGTGGGCCGAGTGGGTCCTCTTGGAGATGCTGGCAAGGCCAGGCCCAGAGCATCCTGACCATTTTCCAGACAGTGAGATGGAGGCCTCAAACCTGAACGCAGTCTTTGGCCTATTAGCCCAGATTGACACCAATTCTAGGTCCCTCTGGGCCCCAACCAACCCCCTGCCTCCTCCGCCCTGTGTACTCCTGAAGTATGTCCCCATAGCCTACAAAGTCTCAGATTCTGGGTCTTACACGAGTTGTGAATCTCCCTGGCACAATACAAAGGGCCACAAAATTGTGCATTCAATACCAGGGCACTCCCTACCCCTCTAAAGCCCAAGCGTCAGAGGGGCAATTAAAATGTCTCCAGGTTCTAATCTGGGTTCTGTCTTCACATCCCAGTGTCAGCAAGGCACTAGAGCTACCAGGCTTCCTCTCAGCTCAGCTGCTCTTCCTCTCCGCCCCCCAGCCCCCTTCCCGATCTGAGCTGGAGTTCCTCTGCTTTGCTGCCACACTCTGATTTTCAGCAACTTGTCTTTTCTCCACAAGTAGAGGTGGTGGGGGTCAGTACACAGGGGAGACAGGCAGATGCGTGGGGGCAGGCAGTACACCCTCTTGGAGACTGGTGGCAGGGACTAGCTTTGCAGACCGGGCCAGCTTCCCAAGCCTCTCACCCCAGTTTTTGAAGCCTTCCCTCTCCCTCCCCCAACGCCACCTTGCCACACTATCTACACATTGCAGCCTGAGCAGGCAGCGAGAGCAGATGGAGAGAAGGTTGCAGCCGGGAGGGGAGGAATATGCCTTTAGCAGAGTGGTAGATCTGGGAGTCCTATACAGAGTGGGTGGGGGTGGAGTACTAGGTAGGGGAGGACCGGAGGGCAGAGGGAGCACCCTGACTCAGGGGTTAGGGAGACCAGCCCTCCACCTCCCCCCACCCTACATACAGAGCTTCCACATTTGCTCATATATTTAATATTTTTCAAGGCAAACTACAGGTTCAGGTCTGCATCAGGCTTTGGGGAACAGAGAACTTCCAATCCAATCCTATCCTCGGCTGCAAGAAATTCCTTTTTCTGGCAGTAAATCCTATTGGCTTTTATAAAGAGGGAGACTGAGGCAGGGGGTGCATATAGGCGATTAACCCTTCATGGAAGCAGAGCATTGCTTTGCTGTTTTAAGCTCAGAGGTGTCAAGGAGCAGCCCTGCCTGTCTGCTTACCAGCCAAAACTCAGGGCCACACAGCGCTAGCACTCAGCAGTGACCAGTAGTACTTGCTGACTAAAGCATAAAGAAGCAAGGAAGATGGAGGAAAAAGGAAAGGGAGAAAATGAATGAGAGTAAGACAAAGAGAGAGGCTGGCTCCAGTCTTGAGGCAAGGCAACCCAAGTTCCTATGCACCCACTGTGCCAGGAGTGATGCCCTGTGCGTGCGCGTGGCCACTCGATTCAGTTTCATTATGACCCTGATAGTGAGGTGGTCATGGTCCACTCCACTGGACTCATCAGTACCTGAGCCCTGGAGTGTGTCCACTGGCTGAGTCATGTGGCCAGGAAGTGGTAAGACTAGGTAGACTCCATGCTGGGTCTGAGACCAGAGCCAGAACTCATTTTTTTTAAGGATCTATTTATTTATGCATACAAGAACTGGGGTACAGGCCAGAAGCCTGATGGTTGAGAGGATTCACCAGGGACACAGTGGGGAGCAGAACAGGTAGATCTACTGAAATACACTGCTGAGGAGAGGAGCAGGGAGACAGCAGAGGTCTGCTGCGCCATGTGGGTCACCTCCCTGGACAGGTATCAAACTTGCACTGAGGTGACTACAGATTGCTTCATAGTGCTGAGATTTAACCCCTTGTACCCCAAGGAGGTCAGAACTCATTTCACCTCAACACTCCAAGTGCCAGACACTGGACAGCCACCTCTCAGCTGGTACTCAGTGACTGAGCCGCGGGTGCAGTGCCTCCTTGACAAAGACAAAAAGTCCACCCTCAGAGTCACTTCTTTGGCAGCCATGGGGCACCAGAAGATCATTGCTTTGTACAGGTTCCTGATGTACAAGAAGTGACACCCTACACTATTAACCCCTTGAATCCACTGGCAGGGATTTCCCTCTTTGGCAGCCGAAACAGCATGGACCTGGTTATCTGAAATTGTGAAGAATGGAAGGGGACTGTCCTGAAGCAATGTTATGATTGCTGTGCATTTTTTCAAGAAGAAATAGTGATAGGAATAGAGTTTTGCAAGGGACCAGAGCAGCTTGGTGGAGATGAAACTCTTTCACCAAATAATTTGGTACTGCTATTCTAGATTTTCATAGTTTAAAAGCGAAAACTGAGACAAAGTGACTTGCTCAACAGTGTGTGCTTGGTCTCCTTTTCTCCAGTGTGTGCTTTCTCTACTACCAGAGGGCGCCTTTGGCCTGGGTCCTGGATTCTGGCTGACACACTGCTAGCCTCTGCTGCCCCGAAATAGAATCCCACCTTCTCTGCAGAGAAGATCATTGTGCCCACAGTGCTGTCTACTTTGTATGTTGCTACTGGATAATTTACTCTTCTGCAGTTAAAATTGTTCCAGTGGTGTCAAGTGTCAGATCCTGACCGCACCTCTTCCTGCTGGGTAAAAGGGGCAAGTGATTTCACCTTTCCGAGCCTTACTTATCTCTTTTGAGGGCTAGAGATAAAAATATCACTTTTCATGTGGGGTGATTGGCAAAGTAGGTAATAACATCCTGTGAGATGAGGGGTACAATAACACTTGTTTCATCCCATAAGCTAACGAATTAAAACATTAAGCTGGTTCTTGTCAAACAGTTGGAACAATTTACACCATCATCATAATGGTGTAAGGAAAATACTCAATTTCATACTCAGATGTCTTGATGTGTGAGCTGGAGCACTGGAATAGGAGTCCTGAGTTCTGATCCTCTTTTGACTTTCTATGTGACCTTAAGTGGATCACTTCTCTTCTGAGCACTGGGGATAAGTAATGAACAAGCATTATGAAGTCCCTGCTCTCCGGAGCTTACCTTGCACAAGTGAAAGACATTAAAACCATTAACAGATAAGACTTTTAGTGAATTCTAAGTTCTATGGGGGAGATAAAGCAGGTTGATTAGCGAGTGAAGGAGACAAGTTCTTCTTGAGTAATTGGACATGGGCTTCCAACCTAGGAGCCATCTAGGCAGAGAAGGGAGTGGGGAGAAGGTGTGGCCAGCTGCAGATGTGGGAAAGGGCACGTTTGCAGGAGAGGATGCGGCAAGCACGAGGCTCTGAGGCTGAAGCAGGGCTGTGGTGATGAATATTGGCTGTGGCCATCCTGTTTCTGTGGTGCCATTTCTCTCCCTGCACAGATCATTAATGCTCCAGGGCCTGGATTTTGCCAGGAAGCATATACTCAGTCATTACTCTCTCCGTCAATAGATCACGTTGGAAGTTTCCATTCTTCTTCACATTCCTGCCCCACCCAAACCCAGCATCGCAATTGTCCCTTAGGAACAGCTGGTGTCTGGAAGGTCTGAATCACTGGACAGTAGAGAGAGAGAGAGAGAGAGAGGAATCTTTTATCTTGAAGTAAAAATGAAATACAAAAGGAGACATCTTGAAAGGAAGCGAGAGAGTAAAAGTGAAAGAAGAGTCCCAGCACCCGGAAGACAAATCCACCTGGGCCTCTGAGGGGAGGGGACCCTCCAGCTGCCGCCTGCAGCATCCCTGCTCAGCTTCATGGGCTGCAGGGGAGTCTGGCTGGCCTGAGAAGGTGGCCTGAGGCTGCACCTTCCCAGTGTGTGCACATTACCTAGAAAGATACAATCAAGTCTCTTTGGTTTCCCTGGAAATGTTCCATTTGTCTATACCACCTTCCCCAGCTGCTGGAAAATGTTTCTGTATGCCAGATTCAAGAGGAGTCAAGAAGAGACAATGCCTTTATTCCCAAACTGGAAGTTCACAGGCTACAAAGTGAGCGGGCAAGATGGATTTGCAGTCTCCAGAGAATTGTCTGGCCAGATGAGAAGGAAACCAGTGTCCTGTGAGGGTGAAGGAGGCAGAAAGAGGCGTGGTCACACATGCTATGACTGAACCCCATAGTTAACTCCCTGCCAACTTAGCTGATCTTCCGGGTTTGTGTTTCAGGGCATCGAAGGTGAGACAGAATCAATTAAAGATGCTTTATATGCATAAGCCTTGTTGGCATTATAAACTGTGATTCATCCATTTATTGGACTAAAGAACAGCCTGGCTTTGCGTCACACACACAACTAAGCAGAATGACAAGGGGTGCGTGTTGTGACCCCATAGCACATGGGTCACCGGGAATCAGCAGGTTTAGCTTGAGTCAGACTCGCCTGAGTTAGAGCCAGAACTCTCTCTTAGAGGTGGCACCGCTACACCTCGCGTTTGGTGTCTGTACGAAGGAAGATTAAGAACGACCCCTAGGGTTTGTGTAATGGTAAAAGCAAGTTCAATGCTATCCTAAGTGCCAGTCCTACAGGGAGCACTCAATGAACAGGAGCTGTGTGGTGCTATTCTTAATAAACATTTCGTACATTATATTATAAATGAAAAAACACAGTCCAAGTACCATCACAAGGCTTTCTGTAGTTGGGTTTATTAAGTGTATTTATGGATGAAACCCAAAGGAAAGTCCAGCTGGGGTCAAGGATACAGAGCGAGTGAAGCTGCCCAGCCCATCAGGGACTTGGCCAGTCTAAGCCAGTTTTCATGTGAGTCGCTTCTTTTGAAATAAACCAGGGCAGTGCTGTTCTGTTCGACTGCTGAAACATCCTCCAGCCGTCTCCTTCCTCCCCACGC